TTACGTTTGATGGAGATGGTCTCTCCCAAAGTAACGAGAATTATAAAGTGCCCTTATTACTTTCTGTTGGAGGGCCTGGGAGGATAAAGAACCTCGCCCAATTATTACAATTTTTCAAGTTCTAGGGTGTATTTGCATTTGATCGCCATTTCTGTCTTGAGTATATTGCAGGGTGGGTAGGTTGTTAGGCAAAGGTGGAATAAGGGCCACAAAAAGTTCTCCAGGGTTTTATTCAGAAGTGATGTATTCAACCAGGGATGCCAGGAACTTTGATAACTATGGGGGTATCAAGTATGATAGTAAAAGGCTTATTTTGTAACCGGGTTAGTTGAGATCTCAGAGACCCATCTCTCCAGATTTTAATGAGGACATGTGACCCTGCCTATTATAAGGGTTGTTGGTTGTTACAGGAGTCACACTCAGTCAGCATCATTTATCCCAACTCCTGGATGGCCGTGTGAAATTAAGTCATGGATTTTAATTTGGTAACCACTGGGTACATTAGGTTTGCATGTAGAAAGGGTCTCTCACATAGGATTCCAAAGGAACTAAGGCATAGATGTAATTTCGGGGCTGTTCAGATCTGGAGAAGTGCCATGAGCAGTTCTAGACATGGTAAAGAGGTTTCCTGGCATCATTTGCTCAGGGTCCTTTTAATGGCTTCATTAATTCTACCTTCCAGGAAGATTGTGGCCTTAAGGAGAAGTGTAGAATGTATTTTATCCCTAGGGTTTTTGCCACTAATTGAGTATAGTTTATAAAGTAAACATGGACCATTATTACTTTGTGAAGACTGTGAAAGCCCAAACCAGGTGATAATTTCTTTGAGGAGAGCCTTGGCAACTACTTGAGTCTTTTCTGTTCTAGTATGAAAGGCTTCAACCCAGCCAGTAAATGTGTCCACAAAAATCATAAGGTATTTATAGCCTCAACAGGCTGGGAATTGAGTAGTCTATCTGCCAGTCTTTCTGCTGGGTAGGTTTCTTATTGCTGAACTGGCTGAATTAAGGGAAGCAGCTTAGGGCCTTGAGGATTATTGCAGACACAGAATGGACAGGCTTTTACTAACTTTCCAAAAAATTTTTTTTTTTTTTTTTTTTTTTTTTTTACGTTTGATGGAGATGGTCTCTCCCAAAGTAACGAGAATTATAAAGTGCCCTTATTACTTTCTGTTGGAGGGCCTGGGAGGATAAAGAACCTCACCCAATTATTACAATTTTTCAAGTTCTAGGGTGTATTTGCATTTGATCGCCATTTCTGTCTTGAGTATATTGCAGGGTGGGTAGGTTGTTAGGCAAAGGTGGAATAAGGGCCACAAAAAGTTCCCAGAGATGGTGGTGGCCCTAGCTGCTTGGTCAGCCCTCCTGTTTCTCTGAGCAATTTCATCTTGACTCTTCTGGTGGCGCCAGCAATGAACTACAGCTATTTCCTATGGTAGGTGGATGGGCTGGACTAGGGTAAAAATCTGTGAGCCATATTTAATAGGGGTATTCTCTGCTGTCAAAAGTCTCCTTTCTTTCCAGATGGCTGCATAAACATGAGTACTAAGAAGGCATGTTTGACGGCATGGTGCCTCATGCCTGTAATCCCAGCACTTTGGGAGGCTGACCTGGGTGAATCACTTGAGGTCAGGAGTTTGAGACCAGTCTGGCTAACATGGTGAAACCCCGTCTGTACTAAAAATACAAAAATTAGCCAGGCGTGGTGGAGCACACCTGTCAGTCCCAGCTACTAGGGAGGCTGAGGCAGGCAAACTGCATGAACCTGGGAGGTGGAGGTTGCAGTGAGCCAAGATTGCACCACTGCACTCCAGCCTGGGCAACAGAGTAAGACTCCGTCAAAAAAAAAAAAAAAAAACAAACAAACAAACAAAAAAAGGCGTATTTGAAGTCTATATTAATAGTAACTTTTTGGTTCTTTCTTAGTTCTAGGGGTTTGGTCAGAGCTGTGAGTTTTGACTGCTGGGCTAAGGTTCCTAGAGATAATTTAAAGTTTTATAAACAAATAAAAACCTATTTGGGGAGCCAGTGTAAGATAATTGGTAGTATTTAGGCAAAACTGAGAAATAGGCACAAAGGAAACTACATTAATAGAGTGCAATATTTAATTCAAGAAGTAAATTTGTATTTATAAAAGTAATAAAATCATAGTTGTACTATGTGCATTTGTAGTAAATAATATTTATTTATTTATTTACATTTTTATTTTTTGAGATGGAGTCTCACTCTGTCACCCAGGCTGGAGTCCAGTGGCGTGATCTCGGCTCACTGTAAGTTCTGCCTCCCGGGTTCATTCACACCATTTTCCTGCCTCAGCCTCCCGAGTAGCTGGGACTACAGGCATCCACCCCCATGCCCAGCTAATTTTTTGCATTTTTAGTAGAGACAGGGTTTCACCGTGTTAGCCAGGATGGTCTCGGTCTCCTGACCTTGTGATGTGCCCGCCTCAGCCTCCCAAAGTGCTGGGATTACAGGCGTGAGCCACCATGCCCAGCTTGAAGTAAATAATATTTAATTACATTACGGCATTTACTGACTACAGATACAGGTAAAAATTATGCTATAAGTATTCTGAATTGCTAAAGGGGTGGGGAAGGACAGTTGAAAGGAAAGTTGTTTCCAAGTACGTCAGTATCAAATGGCAATTTCTAGAGTTTATGTGGTTTAAATACAGGAAGCATTTCTCTTTTCTGTACATTTTATACATTTTGCACATACAAATATGACAAGAAACATTTAACAATTTTTGTTAAATTTTTATTAAGAATGTGTTGAAGATAATCATGTTTCTGTCTGAAGAGGGATTTTACTGTAATAAGTATTATCTCTAGAGTCAAAGTTGCCTGTGTTGTGAGCAAGTCATTTTTCTCTATGGCTCTGTTTCTTTTTCTGTAAAATGAGGATAATAATACCTATGTTATTAATCATCTGTGAAAATTATTATTTTTTTTTTTTGAGATGGAGTTTTGCTTTTGTCACCCAGGCTGGAGTGCAATGGTGTGATCTCAGCTCACTGCAATCTCCACCTCCCAGGTTCAAGCAATTCTACTGCCTCAGCCTCTTGAGTAGCTGGGATTACAGGCTCCCAACATCACACCTGGCTAATTTTTGTATTTTTAGTACAGACAGGGTTTTACCATGTTGGCCAGGCTGGTCTTGAACTCCTGACCTCATGATCCACCTGCCTTGGGCTCCCAAAGTGCTGGGATTACAGGTGTGAGCCACTGCGCCAGACCAAAAATAAAATTTATTAAAACATATACAGTATAATGGTTAGCATTTAGTAGAAATCAACTATTAATAAAACATGTATGTACTGAATTACAATACATTCTTTAATACAGAAATATCTTCTCATTACATGAGTTTTTCAACCAATAAATGAATGTATTTTTCCAAAAATGTGGTATACACAAGGAACTACAATTCAACATTAAAAGGGAGAACCATATATAATACAAGACAATGCACTCTAGGGCTTTTACTTTTATGCTTGAAGTACCTGGAGTTTCTAGCGCTGATGGAAATCATATATAAGACAGACACTAAAAGGGCGAGTGATGCTAAAGGTCCCATAATTGGCCACTCTGTGAACACAGTAAATGAATTTTCATCAAAAATCACTGAGAGGCTTAGCACGGTGGCTCACGCCACTAATCCCAGCACTTTGGGAGGCTGACGTGGGTTGATCACAAGGTCAGGAGTTTGAGACTAGCCTGGCCAACTTCGTGAAACCCTATCTCTACTAAAAATACAAAAATTAGCTGGGCGTGGTATTGGGCACCTGCATCCCAGCTACTCGGGAGGCTGAGGCAGGAGAATGAATCACTTGAACCCGGGAGGTGGAGGTTGCAATGAGCTGAGATCATACCACTGCACTCCAGCTGGGTGTCAGAGCAAGACTCCATTTCCAAAAAAAAAAAAAAATTAAAAAAAAAAAATCACTGAGAAAATATTTGAATTCAATAGCTGCCATAATCTTCAAACATTTTGCAGAGAAAGTGACCAAGGACTTGGATAAAGTAAGGTGACTAAAAATGAAAACTGTAGCTCATGAAATGCATCCACTAAAACAAAAAATTGGAAGAGAAATTCCTCAAGATTGTAATATGAATATGGACAAAAAAGATCATTGCAGAGTTTGAATCTACAGAGATAATTCTATTGTTTTTCCACCATTTAACATTCACACTCAAAAATATAAGATTCTGGCCTGGCACGGTGGCTCATGCCTGTAATCCCAGCACTTTGACAGGCTGAGGCAGGCAGATCATTAGGTCAAAAGATTGAGACCATCCTGGCCAACATGGTGAAACTCCATCTCTATTAAAAATACAAAAATTGCCGGGCGCGGTGGCTCACGCCTGTAATCCCAGCACTTTGGGAGGCCGAGGCGGGCGGATCACGAGGTCAGGAGATCGAGACCATCCTGGCTAACACGGTGAAACCCCGTCTCTACTAAAAATAAAAAAAAAAAATTAGCCGGGCGTGGTGGTGCGTGCCTGTAGTCCCAGTTACTCGGAGGCTGAGGCAGGAGAATGGCGTGAACCCAGGAGGCGGAGCTTGCAGTGAGCGGAGATCATGCCACTGTACTCCAGCCTGGGCAACAAAGCGAGACTCTGTCTCAAAAACAAAAAACAAAAAACAAAAAACAAAAATTAACCGAGTGTGGTGGCGGGCGCTTGTACTCCCAGCTACGCAGGAGGCTGAGGCAGGAGAATCACTTGAACCTGGGAGGCAGAGCTTGCAGTGAGCTGAGATTGAGCCACTGCACTCCAGCCTGGTGACAGAGTGGGACTCCATCTAAAATAAATAAATAGAAGATTTTGTACGGAAAAATAAGTTTTACTATGTCACAGAAAATTAAATGTAAAATTCTTCACTTACCATTGTCTCCTAAAAATTTTCTTCCTTTTTGTTGTTGTTGAGATGGGGTCTTGCTCTGTTGGCAGGATGCACTGAAGTGGCACAACGTCAGCTCACTGCAACCTTCACATCCTGGGTTCAAGCGATTCTCCTGCCTCAGCCTCTGGAGTGGCTGGGACTACAGGCACGTGCCACCATGCCTGGCTAATTTTTGTATTTTCAGTAGAGATGGGGTTTCACCATGTTTGCCAGGATGATCTTGGCTCTTGACCTCGTGACCTGCCTGTCTCAGCCTCCCAAAGTGCCAGGATTACAGCACTTTTTAGGCCACCACCCCAGGCCTAAAAATTTTATTACTAAGATATATTTCGTCTTAAGAAATTTCAAAATTCTGCTGTGTTTCTACATATGGTGGTACAATATACAACCCACTTATATTAATGCTTTCCTTGTTCTAGCTTTTGTTACATTTTACACACTTTGTCATAGAATCTCCTACAATTTTTCTTTTACAAACACAGAAAAACAATGTCGACTGACTTAATCCTCTTACCTGTGGATAGTGAATTACTCTTATCTCAATTACGTGATCTAAATGTTGCACTGATAACCTATAAATAACCTCAAACACCCCAGTTAAAAACAATTTACCATAGTAAAAACTTCAAACTTCTCATCAGAACCTAAAGTCCACGTGAAATTACGTGGCATGAAGAGAACAGTGAGAAACTAGCCATAATACAAAAATGAAGAAAGGCTCTGGGGCATACATACCTGGGCATAAATATATAAAGACATCACAAAACTGAAGATAAGTAGAAAATAAGAACACAAATCCTCTTTACATTCATAATGAGTTGGTTCTGCAGCCTGGGAACAGATGTCCTCTCCACAAGCACAATGAATCTGTTCACCACAATGAATCTGTTCACCACAATGAATCTGTTCACCACAATGAATCCGTTCACCACAGATTATTTTCAATCTCTTACTTGGAGCTACAAATTAACTCCAGGAATATTTATGGCTAATCATGAAGTAACTATTAAACACCCAGAACTTTCTATTTGTTCACTACAATAATACATCAAAACATCCCCATAATTGACAAAGTTTTCCCAGTACTTACCTGAACAAATTGGTAAAATAAACTAATTTATGTCAATTATAAAAACTGAAAGGAACAATAACTAAACAAAACAGCTTATATAGGGTTCTTAAAACAAAATGAAATGTTCTAACTAAAACATAACTTAATACATATATTATGAAATTACATCTAAAAATTTTATGTTCACTACTAAATTTTATAAAAATCATTCTTATAATTTCTGACCAGCTCACATAATAAATACTTCATGAGGTGAAAAAAAAAAAAAAGAGAATCAAAGAAATTATAGCTCTAGCATGAGCATCAAAAACAGGGAATTTATATGGGGAGATTCTCAACAACAATCCATTAGACTTTAATTAATTAAATAAAAATATGAAAATATAAATGTGGTTTCAGAATGTCTCAGGCTTCTAGATTTCCAGTAAATTATCCATGGTATTAACGTAATCTTCTTTGTTCTAATATTGCTATTTTCTTTGGAAAATAGGTACAAACTCACACAAACACAATTGATCGCTCCATAATTTTCTTACACCTAAGGTTTATCTTTAGAGCAACACATTTATATACTTAACTTCATGTAACGGGAACTAACGTTTGTATAAGTTTGCAGGAAAAGATGCCACATGTTCAAAGATAAATGTAAAACATTTTTAAAAGTATTCAGGATGCATAAATGTATGAATTATAATTACACTCTAATACTACAATCATAATTGTACAGTTAGAAATAATTAAAGTGTATAATTGGATTGTGTGTAATACAAAGGATGAATGCTTGAGGTGATGAATAACTCATTTACTCTGGGATATTACATGTTGTATACCTGTATAAGAAAAAGACCATATATGCCATAGATAAATATGCATACTACGTACCCACAAAAATTTTAGAAAATAAGAGTAAAAATGCAACAAATGGGAAAGATATTCTTCAATATATTTGCTATTTAAAGCCACTGGAAAAAGAGAATACTAAAAATGTCATTCAACTATGTTACCATTGTTACCATCTTTTACCTACACCCTTGAGTAAGGTGGGATAGGTGTTAAGTTGGTGGCATAATGACACTTCATTCAAGCAACATTTCAAAACGTTAACAATTTTCTTTAGTTAAAAAATTGTTCCCACATAATCTTAAAATAATTTTAAAATGTACTGTATTTTATTACATAAATGTATAATTGGTAAAACAATTTACTAGTAAAATACAGATTGTTTTTCTCTCACTATAATGCAGAAGAATATTACTCTGAACACCTACCTCATGCATCACTCAATATTGTCAACTACAAAAAAGCCTCTCTGCTTAGATTTTCATCATGGATCTTTCATTTATGTTCTTACCCTTTCTTGTAAAAATTCATGAATAATGCCCACTGAATGAAAGAGAATCTCTCTTATCTCTGACGCAGCAATGATTCATCACACACTTTCATATAAACAGGAATGTGTTGAAATAGTATGAAATAATTTGAGTTGAATTAACTATTATATGCTTTTCAAAAAATCTATACTTTTTTCAAGTGAAAAAATATACTTTAAATGTAGTATCTCTTCAAAAATCTTTTCAACTTATATACAAAGAAATTCTCTAACAGGTTCAACTTTGCATTATTTTTTATATTTAATACTCTGATTTACTGCAGTGTCCAAAGTGTTAGTTCCTTAGTTCTTTCTACTGTAAATCCTCTGATGTTTACAGTCTTAATTTTAGATTAAATATTTCTTCACATTTACTGCATCTACAAATTATATTCTAGCAGAAACTCTCTGGTGTTTTTTCAGCTGCAGTTTTTGAACAAATGTTTTTCCACATTTACTACATTTGTAGGATTTCTCGCAAATATAAATTTTCTGATATTGAAGAAAGTCTCCTTCAGGGTTTTCCCCTATTACAAAATGTGTATAACAAAATCCATGATAGAAGTACAGGTACTACAACCCTCTTTATGTTTGTATTGCTTGTCTTAAGAATACTCTTCTTCACTTTTAAGGCCTATAATTTTCTGAAAGGTCTTTCAACAGAAATTACATTTATAATGTTTTTAATATGTACGAACTTTGCTAGTTAGTAAAATGTGAGTAGATATAACTTTTCTATATATTTTATATTTCTACAACTTTTCTTGAGTGTAAAGGCTATCATGTGCAAAAAGATGAGCATTGGTAAAAGTTTTGCCACATTTTTTGTATTTCCAGGGGATTTATTCAATAGGAATTATATATATACAGTAAGATATGACAAGCATTTGAAGGCTTTGCAACATTTTTCATACTTTTATGGCTTCTCACCAGTATCATTTCTCTTATATTTAGAATAGAGGTGTGGTTACAAGCTTTGTCACACTTTTCATGTTTGCATTTTCTCTCCAGTGTGAATTATCTTATGATTAGAAAAGACTTGAGGAAGATTTAAAGACTGCCACATTCTTCACATTTGTAAGACTTTCCTCCAGTATGAGTTCTCATATGTTTAAGAAGCCTGGAGTATGGATTAAAGGTTTTGCCACATCATTTACATTTCTATGGTTTTATATCTAGTATGAATTTTCTTATATTCATCTTTCATATCTTCTCAAGATAAGTTTGTGGAATGAATCTTCTATGCTCAAATGTGAATTTTCATAAAGGTTTGTGGATGGTCTGAAGGCTCTGCCACATTCTTCACATTTATAGCATGTTTTCCCCAGAATGAATTCTCTGGTGTACAGTAAGGGTTGAGAACCTATCAAAGGCTTTGCCACATTCTTTACATGTGTAGGATTTCACTCTGGTATAAATTCTCTTATGTTTAACAAAGTTTGAGGATGTGGTAAAGACTGTGCAACATTCTTCACATGTCAAGCATTTTGCTCCAGCATGAATTTGCTTATGTTCATTAAGGATTGAGGACCATTTAAAGGCTTTATCACACTGTTCACATGTGAAGTTCATCTCCAGTATGAATTATCTTATATTTATTAAGCGTTGAGGACCAATTAAATGCTTTGCCACATTCTGCCACATGTGTAGAGCTTCCCTCCAGCATGATTTTTCTTATATTTATTCACCAGTGAGGACTGTTTAAAGGTTTTGTCACATTCTTTACATTTGCAGGGTTTATCTCCAGTAATAATTTTCTTCTGCTCAATTCAGGTTTGTGGACCATCCACAGGCTTTGCCACATTCTTCACATTTGTACAGTTTCTCTCTGGTATGAATTCTCTTATGTTTAGCAAGTTTTGAGAATGAGGTAAAGAACTTTGCCATGTTCTTCACATTTCCAGGGTTTCTCTCCAGTATAAATTTTCTCATGTTCATTCAGGTTTGTGGACCATCCAAAAGTTTGTCACATGGGTAGGATTTCTCTCAGGTATGAATTTTCTTATGTTTATTCAGGTGTGAGAACCGTTTAAAGGCTTTGTCACAATCTTTACATTTGTAGGGTTTATCTACAGTATGAATTTTCTTATGTTGACTCAGGAGTGAGAACTGTTTAAAGGCTTTGTCACATTCCTTGCATTTGTAGGGTTTAGCTGTGCTATGAATTTTCTTATGTTGACTCCGATCTGTGGACCGTCTAAAGGCTTTGCCACATTCTTCACATTTGTAGGGTTTCTCTCCAGTATGAATTTTTTTATGTTCATTCAGGACCCTGGACCGTCCAAAGGCTTTGCCACATTCATCACATTTGTAGGGCTTCTCTCCAGTATGAACTTTCTTATGTTCATTCAGTTTTGAGGACTGTCTAAAGGATTTGCCACATTCTTCACATGTGTAGGGTTTCTCTCCAGTATGAATTCTCTTATGTTTAGTAAGGGTTGTGGACCTATTAAAGGCTTTGCCACATTCTTCACATTTGTAGGGTTTCTCTCCAGTATGAATTCTCTTATGTTTGGCAAAGTTTGAAGATGAGGTAAAGATTTTCCTGCATTCTTCACACGTGATGGGTTTCTCTCCAGCATGAACTCTCTTATGTTTAGTAAGGGTTGTGAACCTATTAAAGGCTTTGCCACATTCTTCACATTTATAGGGTTTTTCTCCAGTATGAATTATTTTATGCTTAGCAAAGTGTGAGGATGTGGTAAAGATGCTGCCACATTCTTCACAAGTAAAAGGTTTCTCTCCAGTATGAATTCTCTTATGTTCATTAAATATTAAAGACCATTTAAAGGCTTTGCCACATTCTTCACATGTGTAGGGTTTCTCTCCAGCATGAATTACCTTATGTTGAGTTAGGTGTGAAAACTTAGGAAAAGATTTGCCACATTCTTTACATTTAAATTGTTTCTCTCCAGTATGTCTTGTCTTACGTTTGTTTGATTTTGAAAATTTACTAACAACTTTGATGTTTGCTTTACACTGAAATATTTTGTTCTGGGTAGTTGACAAGCATTCATTAAATTCATTGTAACCTCCTTTCTGCAACTTACAGTCATTCAAACTTTTACAGCCTTTTCTTAATTGTAAATTCTCATGTCTACATTTCTCATATCTTCTCAGTATAAGACTGTGGAATGAATCTTCTATGCCCTGCACTGGCCAACGGTCTTGGGTGAAATGAGAACACACAGCTGAAAGGAATAAAAATTACAAATTATCCCACTTAGTATATTCATATAAATATACTTTGTAAATCTTAGGAAATTATTCAAACTACATTAGTTAGATGGCATAACAAAATCCCACAGGCCATAATTTCTTTACAGACATGTACATGTAGCAAACATGTACTAAAAAAGATGCCTTTCTGTGAAACCTATAAATGAGTTAATTGTATGCAATGCCTCAGGTAAGCAAAATGCCAAGAGCCACATTGAACAGGAAGGAATGTTTGCTACATTTACCCACCAACAGCTCTTCCTCCTCCCCAATAGCACTATGCCATTAGGAATGAAGTATCAACTCCTGGCTTCTTCCTTTAAAGAGAAGAAAAATACTGATACAGATATCCTTACTTCTGGCTTTTGGGTGTCTTTACAGAGCCTGGTTTTTGTCTCCAATACCACAGAGTGCTGAAATGGTGGTATACTTTGGGAGGACAGATTGGGTCTGCTGAAACCAAATGTAAATGTTTCAGGAGCAGACTGCCGTGCTAAATACAGGCAAGAGGTGGAACAAGTGATTAGAGACTGTGTTTTTTTTTGTTTTTAGAGACAGAGTCTCGCTCTGTCACCCAGGCTGGAGTGCGTTAGTGTGATCTCGGCTCACTGTAACCTCCGCCTCCCAGGTTCACGCCATTCTCCTGCCTCAGCCTCCCGAATAGCTGGGACTACAGGCGCCCGCCATCATGCCCGGCTAATTTTTTGTATTTTTAGTGGAGACGGGGTTTCACTGTGTTAGCCAGGAAGGTCTCGATCTTGTGACCTCGTGATCTGCTGGCCTCGGCCTCCCAAAATGCTGAGATTACAGGCGTGAGCCACTGCGCCTGGCCCTAGAGACTGTTAAGAAGGAACATGAACAAACACTTTTAACTGAAAAGTAAACACAAAATTCCAGAGAAGACACATCCTTAGAAGATGTATGAGAGGTTACCATAATCTCCTTCAAGGACAATTGGTTTCAGACAATGTCAAGAAAAACCTACATTGTAAAGATTGTGACAAATAGTTTTTTGTTAATGTTCAAATAACAACCAAACATTACAATGTACACAAAATATTAGAACAACATGGTCCAACAATTTTAAAATTTTCAGAAAAGGAGCCAGGCGTGGTGGCTCACGCCTGTAATCCCAGCACTTTGGCAGGCTGAGGTGGGAGGATCACAAGGTCAGGAGATAAGAGACCGCTTGGCTAACATGGTATAACCCCGTCCCTACTAAAAATACAAAAAAACTACCCGGACGACCGGGTGCAGTGGCTCAAGCCTGTAATCCCAGCACTCTGGGAGGCCGAGGTGGGCGGATCACAAGGTCAGGAGATTGAGATCATCCTGGCTAACACAGTGAAACCCCATCTCTACTAAAAAATACAAAAAATTAGCTGGGCGCGGTGGTGGGCGCCTGTAGTCCCAGCTAATCAGGAGGCTGAGGCAGGAGAATGGCGTGAAGCCAGGAGGCAGAGCTTGCAGTGAGCCGAGATCGCGCCACTGCACTCTGCACTGGCAGCCTGGGCGACAGAAGCAAGACTGCCACCTCCAAAAAAAAAAAAAAAACAAAAAAAAAACCTACCCGGACGTGTTGACGGACACCCGTGTAGTCCTAGCTACCATGGGAGGCCTGAAGGCAGGAAGGGCATGGTGTAACACAGGAGGCAAGCTGTGCAGTGTTGCCCGATAATCATGCCACCTGCACTCCCCGCCAAGCCTGGGCGACAGAGTGAGACTCCGACACCACACACACACATTCTTCAGAAAAAAAGACCGGGCATAGTGGCTCAATG